AAAAGCATGCACAATACTAAATGTTCCAAAGGTTAATTTTTTTCTTTAACAGAGTGACTCCATTAACCTTTAAAATATAAAGTGTATGAATAAAGGCTTTGTTCCACTGATATACTGATGAGATCAAGTTCTGCAGGTTCTGCTGACATAAAAGTCAACTAAAAATAGGACAGCTTTCAGAAAAATAATCACCAGGAGTATAAATGTTCAGTGAACATCCAAGAGCTCAAAGTGCTTTCACACAAACACACACACAAAGAATACAGACTAATCATTCATCTTTAAGTAGCTCTTTGAACCTGTATAATGGAAACTCTTAATATAAACTGTCTAAATAAACTGAGATTTCCAGGATTAGTTACACTTTGGATCTACAGTAGTTGCTCTGGACTGGATTTAAGCACCACTTAAATCCTGTCTGCTTAGAGAAGAAAATAAATGTACACAGCAAATCAAAGAAGATCTGTGGCTCTATTTTCAAGCCAGTGCAAGTTAGGAGTAGCAATGACTAGTCGATGCTGTGGAGACCTGGAGCTTAGTCGGGCAGCAGACAGTACAGAAATGTACTTTAACTGTTAGTCTGAAAACACGTAAGACTAGATGAGACTAGATAAAGTCAATTCTTCAGCCAACTACACAAGACCTCGCTCAGAAACTGCTTTTTTTCTTTTGCTTTTAAGTCTCGGTTTTGGACACTACTGAGAGTAATTGAACACAGTGTTAAAACCTCCCAGATGCTCCTGCAGACATCACATCCTACAGCCATCATTCTCTAAGCTCTAAGGAGTTTGTCCCTGGAGGACTAGTGGTTTGGCCACAGTGCTCTCACCACTGTGGCCTGCGTTCAATTCCCACCAGGGAACTGACCCCCAGCCACTGGGGTTGCGTGCAGCAGTGTGCTCTCAGTGCCGGTCCCAAGCCCGGATAAAATTGGGGAGGGTTGTGTCAGGAAGGGCATCCGGCGTAAAAACTGTGCCAAATCAAATACACAGACCAGTGATCTGCTGTGGCAACCCCAGCGGGAGCAGCTGAAAGAGGAATGAGCTATAAGGAGTTGCCTGCATGCATGCCATGCTGTGTGCTCTCAGTTTCAGAATCAGTGCTTTCAGATAAGCTGCAAGCTCTATCTAGTCTCATCAGATAAGCTGCAAGCTCTATTAAGTCTCATCTAGTCTTATATATATATATATATATATATATATATATATATATATATATATATATATATATATATA